ATTTCGGTGATTAAAAAGGCACTGGTATCTCATTTATTGTTCTGAGAGCTCACAGCTTCCACTGTCACGTGGACAAACATTTCTGTGAAATGCCAACACTTGTGCAATGACAGCTTTTGTAACTTTTGCAGGAAGAGGAAGCCAAACAGCTTGTGAGAGATGCCATTGCAGCTGGCATATACAACGATCTGGGCTCCGGCAGTAACATAGATATCTGTGTTATAAGCAAGAACAAGTTGGATTTTCTCCGTCCATATGATGTGGCCAACAGAAAGGGGGACAGGTTAGTATTCCTGAAGCTGTACATGATCCATGCTCTTCCCAGCAATTCCTGTGTTCTGTTATACTAAATTTTGTCAGAGTAATCTCTAGATCTGTATATTGAATTTCAACAAGAAAAAATTAGTGCCTGTACCTGCAACTGAATAGGAGCTGCTAGTGGCACCTACAGATGTGTGAAGGAAACAAATGAAATTCTTACCTGCTACCACTTTATCAAGCCAAGAGGCTGCTCTTGAGTTTCAGGCAGTTTGAGAAAGTAATGAAGTTTCCCATTTGTGACGGAGCAGATACTTGTGTTTCTTTTGCTGTCAGGTAGCAACATAGTCTTGTTCTGCCATGTTCTTGCTGAAACTTGTGTGGTGTAAGAAGGACCCTTGGCATTGCTGTACCCTCTGTAGTTCTGCCTAATCTTAGCGTGGAGATTTGAAAAAGCAGTATTGGGCAGCAGAGCCTGTCATTAGCCATGATATATGACCTCACTGCAGGGACAAAACCAAAAACCAAGTGAAAACTCCACAGCTCTAGCCTGTGACTGCTAGGTTGTGTGTTATTCTATTTCTAGAGGCCCTTTCTAGCCAGTGGCTAGAAAACATGCCCTATCCAAGATTTTTAAGACAACACAGACATTGTTTTGATCACTACAGTTTCCTCAAAATTGTCCAGAAATACACTGTGAGGCGTTGAAAGGGCAGTTTACAGTTAATAGCTAAATACAGCAGTCACAAGATTTTTTTTTCTTAGTTGGACTAAACTGGAATCCCATTTCATGTATAAATAAACTAAGAAAATGCTTGTAAGCATTCATGCTTGCCTAATCAAACAGTCTTCTCTCAACCATTTCCACTACGTAGAAACTGGTGCTTTTTTCCCCCTAGCGCTTTCATTTGGCAAGCCACATCAAAAAGACAGATTTCTTACAGTGCCCCCCCCCATTTTATAGTTCTCCAGTTCTCAGTGTTCATTTCCTTAAAGCACATGGGAAGTCTGCACAGCATGTGAAACTATTGTAAATCCTTCACAAAGGTGACATTATTCTGTCTCTTGTTTCCTTAGGCCAGTAATTCTGAATCTCTTAAATTTTGTGTCAAAACATTCAACTATGGAACTCATTGGGAACAAGGTTACATTTAAGTATGTACCTGTGGTCTTGTAATACTGATAATGTTCAGGATACAGAAGTGATGAAATTCTGAAGTGAGCAAAATTTGAGTGTTAGAGGAGCTGGCAAATTTTACTTCCAAACACTCAGTTGCTCAGTGAACTACATTGCCTTATCAGTGAAATCACAGCCCCCAAGGCAGCTGAAGGATTTTGCAGTATGTACTTTTATGTGACGTGTAACAAGTTGTGCAACTTTTCAATCCACTGCCAAATAGTAGGCTTTAAAGAAATGGCTTTTTCCATTCTTTCTAAGGCAGACACTACAGCCAAAGCCACAAAGAATTGTGCTGTTGCAGTTCAAGGTCTTTTGGATTTCTTACTGTACAACTTCATAAGCAGACACTTCATTCTGAGCAGAAATGTGTATAGGTGGTCAACTAGGAGAGAGTTATTACACATTAAGTGAGATTTTGGATTCTACTGTGTAGATTGGTGAAAAGGGTGACAGTTCCCTTAGTCAGATGCAGTTAAGATTTCAGAATTCAGAAGCATAGCTTCATTACAGGTAGTCTTTTGTGTTAAATGTTAGCTAATTTTAGCACAGAAACCCAAAGCTAATACACTGGTAAAATTATTCTAGAGTTGCAAAAAATAAATAAATTCCTTGTTCTTTGAGTCAGGGTACACAGCAAGAATGTCCTACACTGTAATGAGATCCCACTTATTTCTATAAAGTAGCCTTTCCAGTTAACTGGTGTTGTGGTTTAACCTTTTTTTTAAAGACAGAAAATGCTAGTTTATCTGAAACTTTATCAGTTATTGCAATCAGTCTAGATTTTGCAGTAAGCACTGTTCCCTTACTTACATTGGACTTTTATAGGAAACTTCCACAGAAAGCTGATTAATTCTAAAATTTCAAATGAGAGTTTTCCTAGGTAGTACAATCTTCCAGCTTAATTTTCACCTTTCTTTAACAGGTACGGTAGATACAAGTGTGAAAAAGGAACTACTGCTGTTCTCACAGAAAATGTAGCACTCCTGGAAATTGAGGTGGTGGATGAAACTGTGCAAACCATGGACACTTCCTGAACCATCATGTGCAGCCCTCTGTCTCACTGGAGACCAGCACTAGTTATGTTTAGAAGCGTTCCAGCATCAAGAGAAACATGCAGCTGCTACAGAATAAAGAGGGTTCTGACCATTCTCCTAATAAGTGTTTTTATGTGGCACTGATTTCTTCTGCTGCTTTTCCCTTCTTTCTTACACTGTTGATAATGTGAGGCTTGTGCAGAACAGAACTGCAGCATCTTACGCACTCTTTTTAGTGGCGTGGACTGTGAAAGTATGTTGGACTTTACCCTAAAAGATCTGTAGTATCATGTGAAAGACAGCCAGGCTCCTGCAGTGGACACCAGGCATCATACTGAAAAACCACTAAGTACAACAGCTGTTTGGTTAGTTCACTCTAGGAACAAAATAGCAAGGGTAACACTTACTCTGTGTAAACCCAGTTTGATAGGTTTTAATTTAACATAGTGTTCTTTTCTTGATGGATACATACCTGATCAAGAAATGGTATGAAAATAGTGAGTACTGGAGGGTCTGAACTGCTGACCTTGACCTACAGCAGACTGCTTCTACTTATGTTATTGCAGGGAAGTAATACTGTTATGACATGTTAATATTTATTCTTACCTGTTTTTTGTAGACAGAGGCAGGATATGGAGTAGATCCAACCTCCACACTAGTACACAAGTTTTCATTTCTAAGTTACATGACTGAAGACAGCATAATTCAAAGTCTAATTGTCTTGTTACTTGCCTGCATTTTTCTACAAGCTTCTACTTGGACCTTTTTTGTCCTAAAATCCTGAGCTTGTACAATTTGAGATAAACATAATCCTTATTAAAAACAAACACAAAAAGCAAGCTGAAAATCCACCTGCAGAGTTATTTTCTCATTTAGTCAAAATGGAAGGTGTATCATCTACAGTCAGCTTCAAAAGGTTAACTGGTACCAGTCCCTAGTCTTAGCATCCTGCCACAAACATCCACAAAAACAGTTTTAGCTGTGCTGCAATGTAGAGGGTAAAGTCGCTCATGCATCATTTTCCATCAGGACAACTGATGCAGTTTATGTAGTCCATTCATCCATTTTCTGACAGCTGTAAGGAAGTTTCACACATATTTAGGCCTGTTTTCAATGGTTGGGTTTTTTTTTTTTACTTTTTCCTTAATACTGGATTTTTTTTTTAAACAAAGGTGTTTATTTTGTAAATCATTTTTTTATTTATCTAAAAATGCACAATTGCAAAAAATTACCTTTTGAAATACATTTACTTATAAGCACTAATAAATTTTATGTAGCAAGAAAGTGACCAGACTTCTCAAGATACTCAAATTTAAGCTGAGCTTCCCTGGAAGCCAAAGATCCTTTTCCGTGTCACACCAAGAGGCGCAGCACAACCATCCCTCCGAATGTGTAGCTGCCACCATGGCTTAAAGGAAAGCTGCAGTGTAAAAGTGACAGTCTTCAGTCTTAAATCTAAGAATTGCTAAAGAAGCTGGGTATAAATTAAACAACTTAGCATGGGAATGGTGGAAGCAACCTGGTGCCTCCACTATATTCTCACGCTGATTTCAATTTCCTGAATCTCTCATGAGCGCAGCAGGCTCAACTTTCTGCTGAGAAGACTCAATAAAATGGCACCTTGTGTTAATGATAGCAACATTATTCACAGCAATTAATAGCTTTTCTTTGCTACCCTATATAAATATTTCAAAATTTGTCAGGAAGTAGTTGAAGATGGCACTGCAGTTTTCCTTTAAGTAGAGCAAATTAGATTAAAAAAATCCACTAAAAGCATATATATGTATGTAACCCTCTAACCCTAATCTTATTTCCAAAAAATTAAGAATTGTATGCTTTTCTTAAGAAAAAAAACAGGCACAGGCTGCATGTCACACACAAGTCTACATTTTGGCATTTGCCACCGTCGCACACGGAAGCAGCGCTGTAACAGTACAGGCTTATTTATTTCCCCCACTGTAGTCCTCAAGAACATTAAGTGCAGCCCTGTTCCTCTGAACAGGCAAATGAAATGGAAACACTTGAACGTGAATCCACGTTTGTTCCTAAAGCAGTGAATACTTTTCATCGACAGTAATGAAACAAATCATTGATTCAATGAATGAATTTAGTTGGTTGAAAATTTTCATGTAGTTAAAGAAGATGACTCCTTCAAATCAGGTTGAGATTTTATAAAAATTCACATTCTGTAAATTAGCTTTCACAGTTAAATAAACGGGGGCTGATCCTTATGTGGAATTAGATACACAAAGCATTTTACTTCTTTTTTAAAAATTTTCAACATGTTTAAAACACTGCTTTGCTTAAGTTTTACCTGTAGTACCTGACATACTACTGAACATGTAAAAGTATCTTCACCAAGATCACCAGATAAACACTGGTTTTTAACAGGAACCTGTAGTCTAAAAAGAATCATGCCAAATGGGAAAATAAGTTTAAAGAGAAATTATTTGCAGAAGCAATGCTTGTTTTGCCTTTGTTGGCATGGTTTTCTTCTTTTTTCCCCAGGTACACGCTTAACTCACCTCATTGGCTGTAGCCAAGTTAGCAGATAAATGCATCAGCAAAATACTCACTCTAAATTTTCAATTAAAAAAAAAGAAATCTTGAAACAAATGTGTTTCCCACCCCCCAACCCTTCCCAGTTCCTAAGTCTGAAGAGGAGGGAATTAATAAAAACACATAAATGGCTGCTTTAAAATATAAGAAGTAAAAACTGAATTTGCTATTAACCATTTGCAGAAGAGGCAAAGTAGCAGTTATACAAATTACACAAAATCTACTGTAATTCTTACATTAGTATAAAGTGATTTCACTGAAGGAATTATTTCAATATTTCACATTACAGTTAAGATAGAAGGGGTGTGTCAAATGCTCGGACACCCTCATTAATATCATCTATCCTAGATTACACACTACAGTTTTAAGAAAGGACCCTTAAATGATCTACATCTGTAACATGTTATTGGCCTTAAAAAAAAAAAAAAAAAAAAATCACTTGCAATACCTCACAGAATCTTCACTTTAAAGCATGACCACCTTGTAAGAGTCCTTGTCAAATAACCTGCAGAAATAATGGAGCATCTTGCTACGAGTGCTCAACCCTCTCACTTGTGTGACTAGGCACCAGTCGGTTTCATCTGAGAAAAAAAATTCAAGTAAGACTAAGCTGTGCTGGCTTCTTGAGAGTGTTTGCAGATGTTCATGTGCTGGAGGTCCAAACATGCATTTGTTTTGCTATTTGGTGCACGTAACCAATGTCAGGTCTTTGATCCGGATCTGGGTATATGCACATGCTGACCAGCTCCCGCAGCTGAAAGACAGGAAAACAGGCACGCAAATGTGAATGAATCAGCTCATTTCTTACTGGAAAGGGCTGCGGGAATGTTTGTCCATTGGAGTCCAGGACAGGAGCTGGGAGCCTCTCTTATGCAGACGTTCCCAGGCCGATGGCAGGCACACGTCCGTCTGTCCCATGTCCCCTGTCCCCGCCCCCCCAAAAAGAACCTTTTCCACCAAACCTTCAGCACTGAAGATTTAAATCTTCCACACAACCCAGTGGATTTTACATCGTCATTTACAATGCGCTAGTAGCATGTATGTACCTAGGGGCTCCCTGCTCAGTGGTTTAGTGTGGCTCTACGGAGAGTGTGACCACCACCTCTGATCTGTTACTCCTGATACTGGGAGTTTCAAAGCTTTTTTTTTTAAATAAACAAATACAAAATCTTTTT